TCGCAGGAATTCTCCCACTTGAGTTGGAGGTATTCTCATTCTCTACTCGGATTCGAAATTTATTTTCTTAGCTTTCTTTTTAATACCTTATCTAAGAATATGTGAAGAAGTAAAACTGAAATATAAAAGCCGTTTCCCACATGATTTTTGTGAATTTCATATTCATTTGGAAAGAACTTCCATTCGTTACTCGTTTTTATCTGGGAAAGCTTGAAGAGAATGAGCTTTACACCAGGTTAACTCGCAGCTCTTTTGTTATAAGTGAGAAAGAGAGAGGCCAGATATGCTCGATTTCAAGTCATTTTTACTCACACAGCACAGCATACTGGTTTTTATTCAAATGACATAGACCAAGAGAGTATACTTGAGTTCCTTTTTTCACTCACAGGAGTACTCCCGCTCTAATTTGAGCTAGTCTCACTCTTTACTCGGATTCGATTTAGCATTTCTTGTTCTATTTTAATTACTTTATCTGGGAATGTATGAAGAAGTAAAGTTGAAGTATTGATTCCGTTTTTCTTAATTTCGTATACATTTAGATTGAACTTCCACTCGTGGGACTACCTTACTCTTAATTAAGTAAGGCTATATGAGTTTTCTAAAGAAAAATTCCCTAAAATTGGGTTTTCAAAACGGCGGACAATGGGCTAGGGCCTAAATATATAACAGTTGCATTTCTGACGAGAAATATAAAAACAGAAGGATAGATGGCGCTTTTCACATTGCAAATTTCATAGATTTAGAACGAATTACCAGTCGTCGAGCTAAAACCTTTTTACTCGCAGAGTATCCAAAATAGGGAATATTTCATATTTGGATTTCGGAAGAGAAACAATTATATTGAAACATAGATGGCGCTTCCAATATTTTTATTTCATGGCTTTTAAGAAAGAATTTCCGTTCGTAGGATAATCTGTAAAATCTTCAAGATATTTCAATGTTGGTGGTATCGTTACTAGAAGCCATACTAAATAATTAACCTTTCTTGAACAAGAGAAGGGAGCTTTAAAAAAAGATGCCAGTAGACTGAGGCAATAAAACTAAAGCATAGATGGTGCTTTTCACATTGGCAATTTTATATACTTTAACTCTAATTACCAATCGTCGATTGGTATAAAGTTACCAAAATAGTGGACAGTGGGTCAGGGCCTTAAAAATGTCTAAAATTTGCACTTTCAAGGGGTAAAAATAATACCGATAGATGGCGCTTTCATCATTTTAATTAAGTAGCTACACAGAATGATCTGGGTGGTATCATATATGGGAACCATAAAGGATAATGCACTATTATTGAACAATTTTGGCGAGGAGAGTTTATTTCCATAGAGTTTCCAAAATGGAGACCAGGGGGTCAATTCTGGTTCTATGAAAATAGGAAATGAGAAAATTATTTTGAATTTCGTTTTCATAACAACTTTTCATAATTCGTTTTCATAAAAACATATTTTCCGATTCTGATTCATTTTGTGAAAACAATGTTTCAATTCCGTGTCGCAATGAAACTTTTGTAACTATGTTATTGAAATAATTGTAAAGTTGACGTTCATATGTTAACAGGAAAAAAATAATATTGTCGTAAAATCAAACAATATACGATAAAAAATGTCAAGTTCCATTATATTATATTATATATCGCAAAGACATAGAATAGAACAAAGGTTAGTACAATTATCTAAAAAAGTTAACATGAAATTAATATAAAATTGTTTAGGAACTCGCTTCGAATTCTTAGACGCAGTCTTCGGGATCACCACAATCCATTTGAAATAGCCACAGAGGAGAGCTTTTTTGAGTTGTATAGGATGCCGAAGCATTTGTGTTTGGAACTCATCGAAGAATTGAAGCCATTTTTGCCGAAATCAAGAAGAGTCCATGCAATTCCATGCCATCTAATAGTACTAAGTTCATTACGTTTTTTTGCTACTGGTAGCTTTCAACGAAGTGTAGGACAAGATAATTTATCCGCTTTATCTCAAACATCCGTAAGCAGATGTGTAACTATGGTTGCTAAAGCTTTGAACAATATTTCACACAATTATATAATATTTCCCAAACAAGAAGATTTCCCAGGACTTAAAATAAAGTTTATGGAGAAATATCAATTTCCAGGGATTATAGGAGTAATTGACGGCACTCATATTAAAATGTCTGCTCCAAGGCGTGAAATTGAGCATATATATTACTGTCGAAAAGGAGGACATTCAAAGAATGTGATGATTATATGCGATTCAAATTATATTATTTTGGCAGCTAACGCACGATTTGGTGGTACAGCACATGATTCTTATGTTTGGAGAAGTTCCCAAGCTTGCAGAAGACTGGAAGATTTATATACTGGAGGAGATCGTAATTATTGGCTTTTAGGAGATAGTGGTTACCCATTGCAGGTAAAATATACGAACGTATTATGTGTAGAGATAATAAAGTGTATTCGTTTAATTTACCAAATAGCCGTGGTTGATGACTCCTATACTTTCAACGTGCAATACATCCGAAGAGCGCTATAACATCGCGCACAAATCGACACGAGCTTTAGTAGAAAGATGTATTGGTATACTAAAATCAAGATTTCGATGCTTATCAAAAGAAAGGACACTTTACTATAGTCCACCAAAAGCAGGTCTGATAATAAACGCCTGTTTGGTCCTGCATAATTTTTTAGTTCGGAAAAAGATACCGCATCCGGAAATAATATCAGAGGAAATGAATGACAATGGGGAACAAACAAATGCAACTGCGGATATTTCATGCCGAAATATATCAAGTATTGCAAAAAGGCAACGTTCCGAGATAGTTGAAAACGTATTTGCTCAATAGATAAGAATAGATTGAAAAATCAATACAATCATTAAAAAAACAAGTGAAAAAGCAGTTGAATACCGTCCACCATTTGGAAAGAATTTAAAAATTCTCAAAAAAAAAAACAAAAAACTGAATAAAAAGGCAAAATCCGTTACAAAATTTTTTAATATCTTAAAAATACTATACGAAGACTTGGATCTAAAATTCTGTCTGTACCTATAACGAAGTGTGGGCTTTACCTATACGTGGGCCTACATAACAAATATTCAATATCAAAAGTCCTGCAGACCAAACACACATTTGAATAAAATTGTATCAATCTACTTCAATTCGTTTGGACGCTAGGGTGATTTCCACGGACAGACAACTTTTATCCACACCTTGCTGATTTGTGTCAAGCTCGTTTCCAAAACAGTTTAAGAATAATCGACATCATTTTTAGTAATGGCTAGAATTTATTTATTATTATGTCAGTAGCCATTATTATTACAAGGTACAACTTGAATGACTTCCTGTATTTTTTTTAAAAAAATCCACTTTTGCTTGTGTATCAGCCTTAATCGCTTCTGTTTGCTCCTTTATAGCTTCAATCTCCCTTTCCTTTAGAGTATTAGACTTTCTCATAGCTTCCACTTTCTCTTCTTCTATTTTAAACAATATTTCAAATTGTGATTCATCAGGATATAAAGCAACCTTCCGTTTTTCTTTCCTTGGTCTTTTTCCTCCCAATTTAATTGTAAATGTGGAATTTTCTCCAGTTTCAAGATCTTCATCCAACTCTACAATTTGGTCATCAAGTATCTCCACCATATCTTCCTGATAGCAAATATCTGATGAGTTATTTTCCACATGTACTCCGGGACTACATAGGAACCCCATCTCCTGAGTTTTATCCCCATCAACCGCTTCTATTTTGGTAATATTTATAATCCTCTGTTCTACTTCAGATAGTTGCTTGATTTTTTTTGGTCCATTAATTCCACTTTTTTGTTCGTCTCTTTTCATCAAAAGGTATTTGGAGCGTGTATATTGCCTATACGAATTTAAAAAATTGCATAGATAAACGCATGTACAATGACAAACATTGGTTGGTATTAAAATACGTAAAAGCATATCGAGCGATTCCATTTCCATTCTCCGGATCGTTAGATCCATTCTCCCAATTTTGCTCCTCTACAAATAATAATACTTATAACATTCTTCCAAAAAATCTTACTACTATTTTTAATATTCTACAATTAAAATAAGTCATACCTCAAATCACTCCAATATTTTCTCCACTTGGCACCATCCTTCATAGTCCCTCCAATAGCATTCAAGCATTCCGCCAATTCCTTCCATTTTTCTTCTCTATATTTTGCACCATCAACAGTACAAAATCTTCAATATACGTATATTTTTATTTTGTAAAGAAACATGATTTTTTTGTAAAATTTTAAATTGTCTTACTTGTCATTCGCCAAATCGACGTTTTCCTCAAGGAAGTTTATTAAAAATTCCTTTTGTTCTTCTGAGGCTCTTTTACCACGGACCGATTTTTCCATTTTCATAAAGAAAATTTGTATGAAAAAATATTTTTCAACTGAAAACTTTTTTGATTCAATTTTCATGATTGCATAGAATCGGAATAGCTTACTTTGTGAAAATGTGAAAACACTAGTTTCACTTTCTATCGTTCCTTTCATATGAAAACATTAAAACATATGTTTTTATGTTTTCATAGAACTCGAATCAGTATTTGTATGAAACGGTGAAAAAACTTTTCATTTTACGTTTTCATAGAACCAGAATTGACCCCCAGTAGTCTAAATTCTTCAATAAAACTGAGCTATAGATGTCTCTATTTATAATTTTGTAAATTTTATTTTGCCGCTTAAAAAGTTTTTCCAACCGTCGTCTAATCTGACTTTTTATTGAGGAAAGAAAACAGAGTTTCCAAAAGCAAAATTCCATAAACTAATTCTGATATGTCAATCTATTCCCTCTTCCACTGTTTAGGGTGAATATATCTGTCCCTCATTGCCACATTCGTTTCTCTGTCCTCTTTCTTTGTATATTTGCCCAGTGTGAATATAACTAAACCATGTCATAATGAAAATAAATGCCATTTCATTTTTGTTGTGCTACTATGTACACCAAGGGAGACATTGCTCCATGTGATTGGCAGGGTAGCAAGAAAACCCATCACACACACTCACCTAAACTCCACATATCAATGGCAGTGCCATATTGCAGACCCAATATGACTTCGGGTGAACGATAGAATCTCGACTGGATGTAGGTGTAGACTTTGCGATTGACATAGCACGAGCTGCCAAAATCGATGACCTTTATTGAGCTGCTGCCTCGTTGTTTAAGGAGTATGTTTTCCTAGGAGAAAATAAACAAACAAATTAAATTAATTAAAAACATTTTATTTAAAAGAATTCTCCAACTTACTGGTTTGAGATCACAGTGTATGATATTCTCTTTATACAACAGACGTAGACATTTTACAATGGAATTGCAGAAACGCCTTATTAGACTCATGCTGAAGCCATTGTAGTTGTTCTTTTTGATCAGCTCATACAAATTAAGACTGAAATTAGAAAAAAGAAGAAGAAACGGAAAATTAGTATTTGTTTTGCTTTGCCATGAACGATTTGTAGATGATAAAAAATTACCAAGCAATTAAAGTTGTTTGGTTTGGTGAAGTAAAGGGCAACCAAAAATCCCCAAAAAAATGAGGAAGATTTGGTTTTCTTTCATTTTTTGGTTTTCTTTATAATAAACCATAAAAATATATTAACCTCGTCAAAACCGGTATTTTATTTATTTAGTTATTTTCATTGTTCTTTTCATACCCCCAGAGTGTCCTTGTGCTTTTGTGCACAGGATTTGTTGTTGTTGTGTTTTTGGTAATAACCAAAATCCTTATCAGTTAATTAATCTGTTTAACAACCAAAAAGGAGAAACTTTAACCTTTTCCAGTTGTGTGTGGGTTTGTTTGTTTGCTTCTAATATAAGCAAATAGAAATGCAATATTTTTCTCATAAGAAACACATCATAGCTGGAGTGGTTATTTTTGGGATGGGGTTCCTTTTTAGTTTGTTTTTGATATTTCGTCATCGAAGTCAACGAAATATTTATTAAACATGCAATGCAAATTAAAACCACATAAAAATATATACATATAACAAATAATAACAAATAAAAATAATAACATGAAGCTTTCTTAACCCCTCGAAAAGGGATATGTTAACTTCGCAGCTGTCGTGGGAGCCCAAAAGGACCCATCATAGGACTTTCGACAAAAAATGTCTTTTGATTATATATTATCTGAATTCTGAACTGGAAAATTTTCCTTTTTTAATTCACCAGTAAAATCACTGATGTTTTTATTTCACGAAAAAGCTAGTTCAATCCTAGGGTTCACAGAAAGGAACTCTGTAACTTGTATAGTTCATGAATTCTTTAAAAAAAAAGATATAGCATTTTTCTAAACCGGGAAATCTTTCGGAATAACAGTTAAATCCACAAGAAAAAGTAATAAACGTTGTAGTTCACGAATGAACTACTTCAATTTTAGGGTTCACGGAAAGGAACCCTAAACATTTTATGGTTCAATTAATGAATTAATCATTAAACAAGTAAAAATAGTATCAGTCGGTTTTGCGGACAGATGTATACCACCAGCCTTAAGTTATGAATATTTAAACTTTTGACCCTTTCGAAGCAGTTGGGCGATATTGACAAATTCGTATTTAACATAAGACTGAAATAAATATTACAACGTGGCAGATTTGGACTATATCGACTACTTGCTACACTTCATATAAGATATGTGCAAGTTTTTGGAAAATGTGAAATTATGCGTGAGGTAACAGATATAGCGAATCGAAATATTCCATTTTCATTCTTCATCTGATACAGATAAAAATATTGGTTTGTGCAAAATTTTAAGGAAATCAACATTTATATACAATTTTATACGAAATCATAAATTTCGATAAATTACATGATCATATCAGTTGATAGAAATATTGCAAATATATTGCAAGTTGTAAAGAATCGCTGACTTGTTTCTCAAGTTATGACAGATATAATTATTGGAAATTGTTACCCTCCGTGGGTGCGGTACCAGAAGCAATGGTCCGATCTGTACTATCTTCATAACTGATTTTTTGTTGAAGGAAATATCGATATGCGCCAAGTCGGAATGGAATCGGATGTTAATTTCGTGTTTTATGAGCTTCATGAATGTTTAAAATTTTGACCCTTTGTGGGGCAGATACCAGAAGCAGTGGACCGATATATTCCATCTTCACAGCAGGTATTTAGTTAGTACAAATTATGGAATGTGTGAAATATGAAGAGAACCGGATGCATATTTTGAATTTTATAATCGTTTTGGTTATTCAAAACTTTGGCCCTTGTGGTGGAGGTACCAGAAGGAATGGTCAGATCTCTTCCATCTTTATAACATATATAACGTTAATGGACGTATTGAGATGTGCCAAGTCTGAATGAAATCGGATGTAAATTTCGTGTCTTATGAGCATCATTAATATTCAAAATTTTGACCATTTGTGGGGGATATACCAGAAGCAGTGGACCGATATATTTCATCTTCACACCAGACCTTTGGTAAATGAAAATGTGTGTAATTTTAAGACAATTGGGCTCTTACATCACATTTATAAGAGTTAAAATTATTCAAAATTTTAATAGAGTGGACCGATATTGTTCATTTTCGCACCTGACCAGCCAGCCAGACATATAGACGGACGGAAAATGCCCTGAAACGAATTTGGTCCAGGGTCTAAAGCCGTTGTTTCGATGAGGTACGTTTTGACCGTATTAAGTGATATATACCCCCTCTCTAGCCATATGACTGAGGGTATAAATATATCTTCAAAACAGTTATTTGCGTTGCAATGTTGGTAACTAACAAACGTAAACATTCACTTGTAGATGGCGTGAGTTCATTAGATTAGATAGCAAAGTTTATTTTTCTATACTTTAAATTTTACAGACGCCTAGAAATTTGTCCACGTTAAGTGTGTGGAAATATCGCACTACGCACGACAAAATTATGAAAAATTGAACTGTAGATGGCCCTCGTTTTATTCTAAATTAAAATTTAGATGACGTTCTTTAGTTACATATCTTTTGAAATCTAAAGGTTTCTTGACATTTTCCCATATTGGCTGTGTTAAAATGTATTCTTAAAACAAACTATAAAAAGTCTCCTTTAGTCAGTATAAGGGTTAATAATGCCATGATATTGTGTGTGTATTTTTGGTTGTCTATGAATTTGCTTCTTTCTTAGGCATGCTCGAAATGAAACCCTTTCTATAAAAAGAACAAACAAACACGGTAAAGTGTTTAAGGATTTTTCTTGTTTACATACACAACTAAATAAAAATTCTTGGGCAAATGGCTAAGGGCACTTTGTTGAAATCCTAAAATAGGCAACAGATTTAGGGATTTCTAAGAAAATTCTGGCAAAAGCCTAAAAGTAGCCTAAGTTGTGGGTATCAAAGTTATCTCGGTCGATTTTATTATTTATTTTTCATTTTATTGAGAGCTTAGGTGAATGGCTAAATGGCGATTGGATTTGAAATTACTTTTCTTTGGTCTAGGCCTAAATGTAGAAAACAAGGGGAACATGAGACAATTCAGGTTAAGTGGAACGTATGAAAACAAGATTTTATTGTTTCTTTGGGGAGTCAATATAGGTGGGTGGTAATTTGGATTCGAGGGATGTTTTTCTTACAGATGTCTTTCATATGCTGCTATAGTTTATACCGAGTGCCATCTATCGGCTTAACATTTTTCCGAAATCATCCATATTTTGTGAAACTTTAATAGATATCTATATATAGAATCTACGGTTCTAAAAATTCTTTGAAAAGAAGTACGAAATTTGTAAAGGATGTATTTAGACTGTTCACCGCATGAAAACGCTATCTATATTTCCATATCAACGCTTTTCTTTTCCATCGTCTTTGCTCATAAAGCAAAAATGTTGTTCCACAAATATTTGAAAACTACCTGACCCTTAAATAATGCTTCACGTAGAATGGTATCTTCACTTCTGTAGCACATTTTATTTGTATTCCTATAAATAAATTGCATACATTTAGGCTGGCATCTGCAATTTATTGTAATGCCACTTTTAATAGAACCTAGATGGCGCTCCAATCATCATTCAAACTAATCGGTCCCCCAACGTTAATTTTTCAAAATAAATTGCCTATATTTAGGCTGGCATCTGCAGTTTATTTGAACGCGTATACTAAATTAATTTTACTCTAGTCCACCTTGGAACGGAACATTCCTAAAAGAAAAGTAACATCTCTAAATATTTGTCGTAGACCCCATAAAGTATATATATCATAACCAGCACAAAATTCTAAGTCGATTTAACTATGCCCGTCTGTCTGTCCGCCTGTCTGTTTAATTCACGATACAGCCCGCATTATTTGACGTAAAACTTCAAAATTTGACAGAACAATTAGAACAGAACAGAATATTGTGTCTAGGATGATTGGTATTGAAAATGAGAAATATCGGTCCATGTTTTTGTACAGCCCCCATATAAGAGTACCTCCCGATATTCGGTATTTTGATGTTTTTTGTCACATTTTTCAACGGATTTATCTAAAAATTGGTATTTTTAGGTCCTAGTGGGTTTTAGTTTCGGTGGCAGAACATTGTATGCATAGTCCACGTTTTGATATAGCCCCCATATAGAGGCACCTGCCGATATTCAGTACTTTGATGATTTCTGTCACATTTTTCTCCAGATTTGTCTAACAATTGGTATTTGTAGGTCCTAGTGAGTTCTAGTTCCGGTGGCAGCACATTGTATGCATATGCAACACATTGTATAGGTATAGCCTCCCTATAACGGTACCTGCTGATATTCAGTATTTTGCGGATTTTTGCTACATTGTTCAACGGATTTGTCTAAAAATTGGTATTTGTAGCTCATAATGGACTCTATCTCCGGTGGCGAAACATTGTATGTATAGGTCCACGTTTTGATGTAGACCTCATATAGAGGCACCTGCCGATATTCAGTATTTTGATGATTTTTGACACATTTTTTTTTACAGATTTGGTATAAAAATTGCTATTTGTTGGTCATAGTGGGTTCTAGCTCCGGTGGCAAAATATTGCATATGTAGGTCCACGCTTTTGTATAGTACCTCCCGATATTCGGTTTTTTGAGGATTTTTGCCACATTTTTCCACAGATTTGGCTAAAAATTGGTATTTGTAGGTCACAATGGCTTCTAGCTCCGGTGGCAGAACAGTGAGTATTTAGTTCGACGTTTTCCTATAGCGCACAATAACGATATCCACTGATATGCGGCATTTTGATAATTTTAGTCACATTTACTTGAAAATTGTCTATTGATGTTCCCATTTTTGGAAGGTATTAAAAGCTCGGCCTGGGTGAACTTAATGTTTTTTACTTGTTAAATTTCAAATTTTGTATCAGTTTATGTCACTTAGCTCCTCTGTGAGTGCCTCCAATAGTAGGCAGTTGATTTCGTTACATAAGAAAAGAAAAAAAAACAGATGGTGC